TGCTTTCAAATTGATGCGATTTGGTGATATAATTCAGGGGACTGACCTTATAGTGACTTAATTGAAATCTATTCAGGAAGTAAAGCCATGTACGAATACATTAAAGTTACACCCAGCTTTGATTTTTATAACGATTTTTCATTCATGCGTAAAACATGCAACGAAACTACCTAATTTTATATTCCGATTATTTTTTTATTCATTCATTGCCACGTTGCATTCATATCTAGGTAGGAAAATGAAATAATAATGTTTATATATGACCGGTCCTATTTCTTCTATTTATCGGCGTATTTTTAAATCACATTTTCGAGAAATCGGTGACATGCCGTCTCGCATATCGAGATTAGGAACGGTAGATATACACTTAGATCATTTAAACCCTTATACATGCATCTATAATAAGATGTGGACTTAACCTTCGTAAAGTAAGACAATTATTTCTTTGATAACGCTCTTTTCGTCTAATTCTACCTTTAACAATATTTTTGTCAATTTCGACCTTGTTGGACAGTTTTTGTTTTTTTTTTAATCCAGAACCGTAAGTATATTAACTTTAACAGCAGTTTTGGACTATGATGCAAGAAAACAATAGCAATATAATATTTAAACATGGATAATTTGTAAATACATGTAGACATGTAGTGTCATCTTTCAAGCTAATTCATAGAGATAAAGTATATGCTATAAGGAATGTCATATCAACACCAGAGGGTCTTTTGCCTATATGTTGCTCAGGGGATCTATTAGATGCTCTAGGAAAAACTCATGCTTGACATGTTAGTAGTTGTTTTTGTAAGTTTTGTTTTTGTTTTTTTACCATTTTACATTTAAAAAAACGAAATGAAAATAAACGCGTGTCATATCTAGCTATGTTGGTGTTTAAATATCTTTATCAAAGTAGCGGGAGATAGATAACGGAAGTTTTTCCTGCTATTTTTTTTGTTCATTTATCAAACTATATAAGTGATTTATCTATAACGAATCATTGCTGCTATTTACCATGCAAGCCATTTTAACCAGAAAAATGTGTCAATGATACATTCTGTCAAAGTAAACATGTTGCTCCTTAAGAAGCAAAGAAGCTTTCATATTATCAAAAGGTTATCGTAGTTTTTTTAATGACAGTTACGATCGTAAGTGGCTTGCATACATATAAGGGAAGTAGCTTTGCATACAGATAAATGCAGTTGCATTGCGCAGCTTTGTATTCAGATAGGAAAATAGATTTGCATACAGATAAGGAATTCGCTTTAAGAACCAGATAGCTTTGCGAAGAAATAGGGGAATAGCTTTGTATACAGACAGAGAGGTACATTTGCAAAACGCAGGGAGACATTTTAATGTAATAAAAAGCAGTTGGAGGCGGAATGTTGCAACCAAATGCTAACCGGTTTTAGCTCATTCAGACACTTTTTGATATTCTTAAAATAGTTTAAAAATGCCATCGATGAAAGATAGTCATTAGGAGGGTAAAACCTACAAAAGACTATGTATCACTTTTTCAAAGTAAGTACCGTGGTACAATATATCAAGTCTTGTGACGTATATAAGAATCTTAATACATATATTTTATGTCATTTAACTGTACGTTTCAAACAGTTTGAATGTTTGCTTTGTGATAAGCTAATATGAAGATTGTTTCTTGTTTTGATACGATTTACAATTTCATTTTATTTTTTTGTCTTACTTGTAAAGAAAAGTAGGTACTTATAGATACTCTGATAATACGTAATCTATAAATCGAATTTGTAACACAGGTAAGACTTAGGTAAACAATCTTTATTGCCGCTGACATCATGTCAAATATATGCGTTTTTAATAGTTTCGATATAGTAGATGTGTTGTTATTTATCAATAATTTTACCTGTTAAAGTAAACAATCTTTATTGCCACTAATAATATAATGTGTAAAACATATGAGTGTTTTAATAGTTGGGATATAGCTCAGGGCACAACATATCTTTATTGATATATTGTTATTTATTCATAATTCCGCGCCGGACTTTAACTTAAACAAAAAACCCAAATTACATGTAGTTTAAGGTTGGTATTTAAATATCTTTAAGTATTTCAAACAGGTATTCACTACTCATATGTTGACGATCGAAATAAGTCATTTACATTGTCATGTAGAAATTACATCGGTAGCTGAATATTCAATAGCTCAACACTTAGCCTGCTGGCAGCAATTGATTGTAGCCTTGCAACCAGTGCAGACCAACATCAGCTGGCACAGCTGTCTGTTCAGATCATAGTCTGAACTGTTAGCCTTTCAGTCAGTACTTATATTGAATTTTGTATTTTTCCCCTGAAAATATTGACGGTTTTTCCTGACTGAAAGATGGGCAAGTCCATTTAATATATTTAACATGATAAGGGGTGTTTTCTTTTAGATCAAAGTTTTCTTATAAATAATAATGTCTATCGATACATACAATTCTGTAAACTAAAATTCAAGATGTCGTTTTTCAGAATCAAGTAAAGATAAATCAACAATAAGTTAGAATATACAAGTGAATGCCTCTTACGTTCAAGTGGTATCTAAAATTTAAAAAAAACTGTCCCAAGGCACATACCAATTCTGGTAAAAAAACAAACAAAATATCATTTTTTAACTAAAAACTTAAATAAATTAACCGTTTTTATTTTCATTAGAGATGGTATAGACTTATCTTTATCTTAGTAAACTTCTTCTAAATGATACTAATTTAATGATTGCGCGAAAATTTTGACCCCGCGAAAACGCCATCCTTGTGAAAAGCGCGAAAAAATGTTTCCGCGAAAGATTCTAGGAATACAGTACTCTGTAATAAATGTAATGGTTTGTATACGTAAATTTACGACAACAATACTCGTCATGACATCTGTTGTTTTGTCACATGATACATGGAATCTGACAATCTCTTAAGCTGAGCATTTGTATATTATATGAAAATCAATATTAGGGCTAGCAACAGCTTAAGAATAGATGTTCTCGTATGTCACTGACAGACCACCTTGATAAAACATCAACATGACTCTATGTCTCTACAACAACAGTCGATATTAGTGAATATTTATTCTAAATACGGAAGTTATGAAGTTTTATTACCACTAACATTATGAACAAACAGGTAGTTGTTGTGTTAGATATGAGACCTAGAACTATTACTATGTAGAGGATTTACCGGTGTTTGGATTGTGTGAAATATTGATGTGCGTATTACTAATTAATTAATATAACTATTGATTTAAACATGATGTGTAGTTTCTAATTTAAAATTTAGTCGTTTTTAGCCGTTTAACTGCCATTGTACACTCATCCAGCACGTATGTCTTACATTTATATTGGGTATTTTATGGTTAAGTATATGTAAAATAGTACTTGTAAATGTAAGGTCTATATAAACAAACGGTTTGAAATATGTCATTAGTGAGAGATTTGTTTGAATTGATGTTCATGCTATAAGATATATAAGAATAGGGAATGTTCATTTTCAGACATATTTGAGCCGCGCCATGACAAAACCAACATAATGGATTTGCAACAGCATGGATCCAGACCAGCCTGGAAATTTTAAATAGTTAACTTAAGTTATAATAAAAGAAGGGCATTTATGATATATGTGAAAGGGGCTCTAAAAGGGTTATAGCTTGAATTATGAATACAGTTTATACTTGACAACATTAATACATCAAATTTAAAGGAACTCAATTTAGATGATTTGACATGGCAGGGCTGGATATTTTTTTTAATTTGTAAACCATTTGATGACTTGTGATCATTCCCTCCATCCGTTGTACCATAATTATCATTTTACTGTTCAAAATTATCTAAAATGAAAAAAACGTTATAATATATAGGACCATGTAACCTGTCAAAATCTTGATAACTAATAATATAATTATAAAATGGATCAATGTTTTAAATGATTAATGCAAGGAAATTAAATACTATATTAATCTATTCTTATGTATACCCAACGTCTATTTAAGAAATAACATCGGCCTGAGATGTGTATATTGGCTATTTAACACCGGTTTGGAGTTTTGATGCGCAGGAATTGCATCAAAACGACAAAACCGGTGTTAAATAGCCGATATAAACCTCTCCGGCCGATGTTATTTCGATTCTAACACGATAAAATAAGGAAAATCACTTATGTTATTTTTCAAGCGGAAATAACTTCCGGTGCCGATTTTCGTATGATGCTGTTCGATTTTCGCACCCTACTTTTGCGAAGATATAGAAATTATTAAACAAAAGAAATAATAAGAAAACATGTTATTTTATCAAGTTTTTAACAATAAAAAACTTCGTGTTGTGTTTACATCAGTGCCCCATTTATCATTCTTGTATGTATGAAATAACGTCAGCTTGTTTATGAATGAGTTGTTTACTTAGGATGACGTCATTACGCTGCTTACGGATTGGCGCCGTTTGATCAAAATATTTATGAACTGATATGGTTATAATATGTGGCGTTAGTGTATGTGAGATATTATTTCGGTATTGTATGAAAAGAAAACATTATACGAACTGAAAATATAAATTAAAAAAAATGCTTTTTAATGTTGCTTTAAAATGCTTTGTAAACTATAATCGAGGGTGAAAACATAACAGCGCATATACAGGTAGTCCCTAACCGGTGTTTATTGGCATTTAACACCAGTTTTTTCCTTCTTTGTCTATAGTGGCAAAAGCACGTGAGTGTTAGAATAAATGTTATAATATAGTTTTAAGTGTTTAATTAACAACAGTTCTTTTTTTTCCTTAACACTGACGCGCATGATCAAACTTGTCAATAGTGTAACACTAATAAGAAGTTTTACGAAGGAGTGATTACTTTGTACAAGGTTTTTTGTTTGTTCAACATGTCATAATATTCAAATAAAGAAGGGTCACATTACGGAAAGAACCTTCAGAAAGTAATCGTTTACCAATGAGACGTATCATATCACGTTATCATACTTGATATTCCTATTACACTTTAAAGTTTTTTTCGTGGAAGAGAACAAAAGAGTTGTTCAAAATAACAAATTAAAAAAGTAATGGCTAATGTCCAAGTCACGAACTTTCTAAAAATGTTCTAAAAGAAATGCGTTTTAGAAAAACGAATAAATCGTTTTCGTGAAAAAGGACATGTCGTTGATTAACAAATAATCTTAAAGGTAAAGTAATTAATTATTATTTGATATCATCATTGTCATTTATTTATCTATTTATTTTTTATTATTTATTCATTTTTATTTTGTTTTTTATTTAATTTTATTTATTTATTTATTTTTTTTGTATTAAGAAGCACATTTTGAATACAGGCAATGAAGCATTTAATACATTTTATTAAAGCAAAGACTTCCACTATAAGATTTTTAACGAACACCTTTTTGGAACATACATGTAATTTATTTTACAGAAAACACACAGAAGTGAGTTTTAATTATTCTTTTTGACATGTCAAAATAAAAACTATAAACATTCGTTAAAATAATAGGACTATACACATGATTATTGTTAAAGAATGGACAGAACATGCTTTATGTTTTTTATTTATTTATCTATTTATTTATTTATTTGTTATTTTTGAAAAACATTATACAAACAACAATGAGTATGACATAATTGTTTGCTTTGGTTTAGATAAACAGAATCATGTATAACATAAGAGTTTAGTTGTTTTAATAATAACGCATATTATATGATCTATTAGCAATTATTATGTTAAAAAGTTGATAACTGAACACTGAATGTCTTAAATGGGCTTGTCTCCCTCTTGATCTGGACAAAACCATTCATCATTTTAAGGGAAAATATATAATATTAACAGGCAATATAGTGAACAGTGTGGACCATGGTCAAGTGGTTACTGGCTTGTCTTGGACTGCACTGTTCGCATGGCCACCAGCAGGGGCAAGGATTAATAAGGTCAAATAAAGATGTGTAAAATAAAGTCGTTACTTTTTCTGCGAGAGTACATTATTATTTTGTTGTCCTTTTTGTTCGATTTCTTTTTCAATACACTTTTATACTTACTGTTCGGGTTTTTACGTGTTATTTTTTCACCTTCCTATCAAATCGGTCCCACGATTTTCCTTTTTATTTGTCTACCCGAATGTTTATTCATGCTCACAACAGCAGGTCAAAAGTGTTGTGTGAGATTCGTGTAAAATTGAGCAATATTTGATTTTATAAAATTATTTTTCTAGACCTTTGGAACCATACATTCCAGTATTAAGTTAATGTTGAACATTCCAAATATTACTATATATGCCAGTGCTTTTGGTGCTGATAAAATGTCTATTTCTCCCAAAAGTCATTCAAACTAAGTCCGGGTTTTTGTTTTAATTGCTTCCTGATACTCTCAAATCACCAGAAAGTTTTGAACGACAAAATCTACGTCACCAAAATAAGATCGCTACAACTCGCATAGAATCTAACGTAATGGTAATTGAAAATAGATATTATCCGTACCTTTGTTTGTGATTTTTTAACTATATAACTATAAATTGTTACCACATCACACATTTCTTTTCGCATTTTCTTTCAGACTTTCTGGTAATCTCGATTCAACGTGCAACAATATTGTGATCTCAGAGGTTATTTATTGAAGGATCATGGGACTGTTAACATTCGCTGGAAGAATAGTTCTTGTTGTGGTCAACATAGTATTTATCGTGAGTATATCAGTGTTATATTCGTGTTATCAACACATTCTCAATATATATGAGTGTTATATTCGTGTTATCAACGCATTCTCAACATATATAAGTGTTATACAGTATAAGAGTGTTATATTCGTGTTATCAACGCATTCTCAATATATATGTGTGATATACTGGATATGAGTGTTATATTCGTGTTATCAAAGCCTTCTCAATATATATGAGTGTTATACAGTATATGAGGGTTATATTTACGTTTTCAACACATTCTCAATATATATGAGTGTTATACAGTATATAAGAGTAACATTCACGTTTTCAACACATTCTCAATATAAAGTATATAAGTGTTATATTCGTGTTATCAAAGCATTCTCAATATATATGAGTGTTATACAGTATATGAGTGTTATATTCGTGTTATCACAAATTCTCATTATATATGAGTGTTAAATTCGTGTGATAAATATATTCTCAATATATATCAGTGCTTTCTCAATGTTTATTATCGGATAAGATATCACGGTTGATAATGTGAGCACTGGGTGGTACCATTTTTAAACATTTGAATGATTGAAAGCGATAATATAATGTCGAACTGTAAGATTTGAAGGTCTGTCGTATTCTAATCGAAACATACCATCTAGAAATGAAATTCATTTTGAAACGATTGAGTAAAATTCTATAGAAATAATGTCTATCGCGGAACGATGAATGATTGGAGAATTATATAAGTAACATATATTTACCGGTAATCATGCAATTATCATTTGCATATGTTCATATATATTTACGTATTTATACATAATCAATATTCGCGTATAAAATTAAATTGTAATCAATGTGTGCGAAATGGACCGATTAACGTTATTTTTGGCCTGCCTTGCTCAGCTTATTTAAAACTCACGTTCACGTTTTCATGATATTGCTGTCTTATGCTCAATATTCACAAATAATCTAAAAATAGATGACCCAGGGCTCAAATTATTTAACAAAGTTTTCTTTTTTGGAACATTTTCTACACTAACCAATTACGTTGAGATTACAAAAATGGACATCACTTCTTGCCTAAGTTGTAACTATATTGTATTTTGAAAAAGGAGATTCCTTGAATATATTATTTCCATTCTGTTACAGTTGGTGTCACTGACTTTGATTATAGCTGGATTCATCATTAGATTTGCCCATGAGTGGCTCAAACCTAGACTCGATAGTGTCCTCAACAAGATAGAGAGTACAGTACAAGAGGGATATGGTAATGTATTTATCAACTTATCAATATTTCGAAAGAAAATGTGACTTAAAATTGCTGATAATTTTGTGAATAATGATAGAGAATACATTTTTGCATATTTTTTTTAGTTTGGTATGTACTCGTTCCAAAGACATAGTATGCCTCTCATCATTCAAGCTGTCACAGTTGAAAACAAAACAAAACAAACACCAACGATACATAATAGTGGTACATAGACCAACTGTCAGAATAAATATCATAGACTCCATACCACTTTTACCATACCACTAAAAGACAAAAGTCTTTGACCTAGAGTCATGAAACTTTACAGAAATGTTGATCAGCATGTGTAAGTTGTGCAGCTGGGTATTTTCGTCTGGATATTTTTAGTATTTTTAGAGTAATTGCCCTTGACTTAGTAAAATTTTGCAATTTTCAACTTGTGTCGCATGTAACTCAAAAGTATTTGACCTAGAGTCATGAAACTTTACAGGAATGTTGATCAGCATGTGTAATTGTCTACCTTGGTATTTTTATCTGGATATTTTAGTCCTTTTAGAGTTATTGCCCTTGACTTAGTAAAATTTTGCAATTTTCAACTTGTGTCGCATGTAACTCAAAAAGTCTTTGACCTAGAGTCATGAAACTTTAAAGGAATGTTGATCAGCATGTGTAGTTGTGCACCTGGGTATTTTCGTGTGGATTTATTTAGTATTTTTAGAGTTATTGCCCTTGACTTAATAAAAAAAATTCAATTTTCAACCTGTGTCGCAAGTAACTCAAAAAGTATTTGACATAGAGTCATGAAACTTGACAGGAATATTGATCAGCATGTGTAGTTGTGCACCTGGGTATTTTCGTGTGGATTTATTTAGTATTTTTAGAGTTATTGCCCTTGACTAAGAAAATTTTTGCAATTTTCAACTTGTGTCGCATGTAAGGCCCCCACGATTACACGTTTAAACGGATTCGTTTCGATTTTCATTCATAAACGTTTACGATATTGTTTACCGTTTAATCGAAATGACCATATTGGCTTACAAAATTTCTTAAATGCCTGTAATCATGGATTTTATCAATTCTTGAGGTTTTTTTATTCCAAAGTAAACAAACGGAAAATGGGTGTTTACAACCCTCCACACAGCATTACCGTGCAAAATTGCTCGTGACATAATACATTTTTGGTAAAAAATGGGGTTACAATGCAAAAAATGTGTGCTGACTAAATCGTGATGAGCCTTGCACATTCTTAATTTGTACATGTATTAAAAATAGAAAGAAAGACATCATTTGGCGACTCAAATACATGGTGTAGGTACCACCGTTTAAACGGTATCGTTTCGGTTCTTAGCAGTCGTGTAAACGTTTACAAAAAATTGTAAACGTGGGAGCCTTAGTCGCATGTAACTCAAAAAGTATTTGACCTAGAGTCATTAAATCTTACGGGAAGGTTGCTCAGCATATTTAGTTTTGCACCTGGGGTTTCGCTTGTGGATTTATCCAGTATTTGTAGAGTTATATCCATTGACTTAGTAAAAACCGTTTCATTATGTTGTTATTTGTTCCTTGAGTGATTGAGTTAAAATCAACGAACTTTACAGGAATAATGATCAACATCACTAAATTACAGGAATAATGATTCACATCACTGTGAAGCTATGCACCTGGGACTTTGCATGAGGATTTTTTTCAGTTTTGTTAGAGTTATTGCCCTTGACTTACAGTAGTATAAATTTGCAATTTTCAACTTGTACATGCATAGCTCAAAAAGTATTTGACTTGTAGGCCTGTGGTTTACAATAATGTTGGTCAGCATGTGTACTTATGCACCTTGGGGTTTGCTTGTGGATTTATACAGTATTTGTAAAGTTCTAGCCCTTTACTTAGTAACAGATTTTTAGTTTTCAAAAATTTTTGACCTAGAGTCATAAGATTGACAGAGCTGTGGCGCGGTGGGGGCACCCGTGTCCTATGGACACATTTCTAGTTATATTTTGCATTTTAAAATTATTTCATTTCATAGGATTTTTCTCAAGTATTTCCTCATTTTCGTCTAATTTCAGGGGACGCCGAGTTCAGTACGGATAAGTTCGAGTTTGGATCTCTCGTCAGTACACTATGTTATATAATGATAGCGGCCGGAGTGGTTCTCCTTGCCATATCCTTCCTAGGATGCTGTGGAGCTTGCTGTTCTTTTACTACCGTCATGCTCGTGGTATAATATAGCTTATCTTTTTTATGTTCAATTCTTTACTTCATATTTCGTCTAGTGATACAAATAAGGTTCTATTTTGATAAAAAGTGTAAAAGTAAAGATCAAAAAGAGGACTAAATCTTTTCCATCCACCAAACAAATAAGTCACTTCAAAGGACAAATAGACAAGGCATACACGAATTATTTACCTAAGGTAACTCGATAACTCGAGGCCTTCGAACAACCATTTAAACATACATTTATACAAACAGTTATTTAAACTTTTAAAAGTTGCACCAATCTCATTTATATACCACTTTCCGTATTTACGGGACAGTTAAGCTCAAAGTATAGTTGTAACAGAATATTATAGCATTGACGACTTGATAAAGTAGTAAATCTTAAACATTGAAATGATTAAATATTAATTAAATAATTCCAAATAAAAAAAGTTATAAATGCCTTCTATGAAGACAATGCGACAAGAATATTACCTATAAGTGCACTGAAGCCATTTACTTTGATATTTTGCGAGATAAAAATTGATTTCTGTAATTCTAATCCTTGTTTCCGCTAAAATCGTGCGTCTTAAACATTCGAACATTTGTGCTTTTAGTCTAGCCGTATTGTATTGTATCACTACAAAACAAACTTTATTTTCAGCCTAACCTTTTGATAATAACAAAATTTGGAGGATGAAAAAAGATATTATAATACTGACGTATATGACATTAGGAAAATGTGTAAGCTTAAAGATGACAGATTTGTGCTTACATGCATAAAGTCATTAAGTTATTTTTAGCGCTTCGGGAAATGATGTCAAATGGAGCAACTACCCGTTATCTATTATTTATTACATGCTTTTCGGTGGTTTATAGAAATATATCAGTGATATAAAACTGGTTATTTCAATGTTTTAAACAGTGAAATTATCAATTTGATAATTTCACTGTTTTGAATTTTAGCCCCTTACGTTGTTTCAGTGAAATACCAGCGTGCACAGTACTGGGAACCAACTTAATTACTACGGGACGTCGTAAATGACGTCACGTTGTTTTATTATTTGGCGCGCTTTTCATGCAGTATTAGGTTTAATGTCTTTTTAAAACGTTTCTTTGCATATAATAAAAAGAAAATTTGTTTGGTTTAGTGTAAAATCGAAATATATTTCACATTGTGAACACCAAAAGTTCATATTTCACTCGTGGCTGCGCCACTCGTGAAATATACCTTTTAGTGCTCACTCGGTGAAATACATTCCGATCTTACACTGAACTAAACAAATATCCTCTATAATTATAATCATTATATTAAATGAAATTTTGTTCTTTTTTCAGTACTCAATCATTTTGATAGTTATCCTGCTTGCCCAGGTTGCTGCTATAATTCTAGTATTCGCAAAACCCGATGTGGTAAGACCCTTTTCAATTTTGTAACGTGTTTGCAATTTTACAGTACGTTTAACTATGCAATGAATGCGGGGAAAAAACAATCGGAAATGAATAAGGACACGTTCTTCCTAGCATATTCAGTATCAGATATTTCGCAACAAACTAAATTGAACACAACTATCTCCGCATATCCTCATTGTCAGAAAAAAATGAGATCTGTATACCTAGATTTGTAGAAAATTACGAGTCTCTGAACATTTGAATTCAGAGCGCATACTGACAGGAGAACAGACAGATCTTTTATTAATGTATTCATCACGCCCGATCGTTATACGAGCTCTTGGTGCGAAAGCGTTGTAACTCATATTAGATAAAAAGGAGTAACAACCCTTTCGCACCAAGCTGTCGTTATGTATACAATGCCGGACCGTGAAGAACCGAAGCGCGCACAAATAACAATGTATTTTTACATCCTAGACGGTCAACTACGTGTGTGCATATATTTTGTTTTTAGGTTTTGTTCTTTATTGCATAAATCTCGATTCAAATGTCATTATTTTTTAAAAAGTAATTAAAGTTTGACCGCTATGATGATTTTATAATTGAGCAGCCATTACGTAGCCGTTGACGACCTGCCGTTATCTTATTTGCGTACTAAGTCTTCTTATGAACATGCCGTTAATAACAAATTGTGTTAAAAGAAATTTATTACACAAGATGCTTCTGAGATATACGAGAGATTATAGAAAAAACATCCTTCTTGAAATAAATGTTAACCTCGACTAGCACATCGGGTCATAAGTATCCCATTCTGGCTAGATACTCTCGTATATCCCGTCAACAACTTGTATAACTAATAAAATATATTGTTATACACGTGTTAAAGAAAATGAAATGTTTTAGAATATTAAATAACAATTTATTGATACTACTTTAGGTTAAAGACAGAATGAAATCTACACTTCAAGATACAATGAAAGATTATGACGGTATCAAGGGGACGTCAGTGTCTGCATTAGGCTGGAACTGGGTGCAACAAGAGGTATTTCTGCGTATAAAAATCATGGTTGCCATATTAGATAACCCTTTAAGAAGTCGCTTCAAATTGAATTTGTAAGCAGGAAATTATAAACAGAACAACTATATAAAACGGGACAGATTTCCTTGCGTTAATATATTGATGAATGAACTATTAAAAATATCTAAAATAACAATTTTTGACAAAACATTTTCCTTGCATGCAAATAAGGAAAATAGACCACACCCCTCTAGCGACCCTATTTTGAGGATTTAAAGCTAAAATATTGAAATGGTAACATTCGAGTATAGTCACCCAAGAATCATGTCTTATTTATATATGAAACAGTACAGGAGCTATTTTTTTTAATTTACGTACTACCTTATTTTGTTTTAATTTACGTACTACCTTTTATTTGACAAAGCTAGAAATTACATACGTTTTGAAATGTCATTGGTTATAACCAATTAAGTCATAGTAACATTTTACTTTATTAATTATTAAGAGTTTATTTAATAAAATAATCATTTCATATTTCTTCAAATATCTTTTCAAGTTTGATTGTTGCGGGGCAGAAGGATATGCAGATTTCGGGGATAAGGGAAGTCCATACAAAGATTCAGGAGTGAATGACAATGCAGATATGGGTGGTAACACAGGGAATGTTGGAGCTCCTGTGGCCTGCTGTAAAACATTGCCTACAGACGATGGAAAAAGGACGACATGTGCTGGCAATGGTGCTCCTCCAACAGAAGCAAACAGCAATTTAAATAAAGTACAAAATAATTGAATTTCTTTAATTAGATTTATGTAGATAATTGTGTGATAGATCTTGAATATATGCTATATATGTGTGATAGATCTTGAATATATGCTATATATGTGTGATAGATCTTGAATATATGCTATATATGTGTGATAGATCTTGAATATATGCTATATATGTGTGATAGATCTTGAATATATGCTTTATGTACTAATGCTTCATCTGTTTATGAATGTATATAAATCATGACTGTATTCTCTTTCAACATAAGTAGATAAGCCGATGTATGAAAACATGCTCGTGTGTTTACTGACAAAAATTTAGAGTACAAAATGATTTTTAGATTGTTTTGTTATAGAACACTTAATTAATAGCATATTTTGTCCATTTTGAAAGGGTTGCGTTAATGAGGTTTGGTCCCGTGTCGTTGAAGAAAATACTTTGATGTTTGGCATCGTTGTTGGTATATGCTTTTTAATACAGGTAAATCTCTTATACTTTATATTACATTAAATCATGGTTTGGATTTGAGTATTTACGAACATTTTAAGGAGTTTTATTCTGTTAAATATAACAATTTTGTTGAAATCACAATACACACCCATCTGACGTTAAGGAAGACACAGGCAAAATTTTCATATTTTAGATTTTAATTTTCTATCCAATATTCTATAAATGTCATCGAAATGAATACTCTTAAGCAGTCTAGGGAACAAAATTTTTCTCCATATAAAGAAAAAAAAAATTGTTTCCTAACCTGACCCACGCGGGTCAGGTTAGAGCATTTACATTTCACCATAGTTATCACAGTGAACTATAAAAGCGTAAAAGAACCTGTCAAATGAGCGACTTAGGCTTGTTTTAATCTTACAATATCCACAATATTTTTTTTTTAACTTCTAGAGATTGTAATTGTCAAATGACTTGTTTTAAAACTACTGGTTAGTTCTGTCTGCGTCGTCATTTCGTTCAATATATGTAGACTTATTTACTTTTTAAACTCACATTATACAGTATTTATACAGAAAAAAACATCCTGGGACTTTTAATCACTTTTAAAAACTTCATTTTAGCGTAAGTTAAGTAAATATTGAAAATTTAATATTTTGTCATATATTTGCCTAAGTATCCCTTTAAGGTAACACAATGTTAAGGTGAGTTTAATGTACGAATGTTGTTGTGTATTCCAAACACTGGAAAGAAATTATGTCCGCTTAAGAACATAAATTGCACGCCATGAATTTACTTAGAGATCCTGTATGTTGTAATTGAGGTTGTAACTACACGTAAGTGAAATTTTATACATGTATATGTATATAATTATGCTTAAAATTAAAATCAATTATCAAACATCGAAGAATATGTTAAATATGTACTGCAAATATTTGTGCACATTATAGTAATCATTAAAATATATGCATTCATTTCTTATTGAAAAATTTGACTTGGACTTTATAGAAAATGAATTTTTCTAATTACCTCCCTTTATTTAAATGAAATGTTAAATTCGGTAATATCTATATAAATAATGCTTTTTTGGAACTTACAATATTGATAAATCTTAATAAGAGTATCATATTTATGATATGAAAGCATAAAAAATTGTGTAACAAGTACGATTACTACCAATATATATACATGTAATACATTTGAAAACTGTTTGTAGGCTTGTTTTCATGATAGTATGTATTCATATTGATATATTGTAGCATCTTCTTTCACACAGTTTTATGCTACGCTTTTTCGATTGTCTCGGAACTCATCTGAAGATTTCTAGCAGTGACGGACTTTAAATGTTGTTTTGTTGATATATTTTCCAGATTGTGCTCATCATTTTTGCTTGCCTTGTCTTCAAGAACAGAGGAGTTACCGGAGGCTTGATTTAACACAGGACAATAAAGTTCTACACAATCAGCAAATATCTGTGATAATGTATATATTGTGATATGTTACTATAGTGATATATGTGTGTGATATCTGGACAAACTTTACATTAACCGTAGTCATGATTCTCCTTGATAAAAAAAAAGATTTATTTTGTAAAATACCGGTATGAAATCTATATCAACATACCAATCTTGTTTTGAAAACTTTAAAAATCATAGTGTAATCTAAGCATACAAATATAACTTTGAAGACATAAGTGAACATGTACAATACTTTATTGAAACACATACATTTCCTTAGACGTTATATCTCTTTTAAGGAGAAAGTGTTACTTATATTTTTTTTAAAAGTATGTATGAACTCAGTGAAATGTTATTTCCATGAGAAACCCCTTGCTATTCCTAGAAATATCTTCAAGCAATCTCAGGCCTATGTCTTGCCTCTTGTCAATGCTTATTTTTACAAATGAAAACAAACTTCCATTAAAATCGGTACCTTAAATTGTTAATTTTTTATCTACAGTTTAGTTGAAATTATATCTACAGTTTTTGTGCAGAGCGCAAATAATAAATATATTTATGTTATAAATACGGATTTATTTTGATATGCTTGCTGTTGAATAAGTACAACCGTCTGCTGTCTAGACTTAATGATTGATACAGTTACCGGGTTATCACTGTTTAAAGGGGCGAATATAATACATCTATATCTATAAATGAATCTTACATGGGGTGCCATATTAATCACAAAGTGAAAGCTTTTTGAATTGCAAACATTTATACTTATAAAATATATAATTATTTTAAACCTCTGGTAGTGCATTTTCTTATATCAAGTAAATAATCACTGACCGAACTTGTTGTTCTTTGTTCTATTTTTGTTATACTTCGCAGTAAAATGTATCCAAATATAGAATTTTAATTGATGAGTTCAAAGATAATAAAGAAAACATTTTAACACGGAGGAATTACTGTTTTCATGTTTTCGGTTGATTACAATAATTTTAATGGATATTGAGCTGAAAGAGACATTGACTATGATAGTTTAGTAACCTTATTTTATGATACTTAACAACTAATGGTACATAAAATACTAATAGTTCACAGAACAATTAAATACAAGACACATTGTGAATGTTGAAAATATAATTTATGCAATAAATTAACTGTATATTAACAAACTATATCGATAAATGCATGGTACATTTCACAAAAACAAAACAAAAAATTGGCACAATATTAACAAAGACATTTACAATAACGAAAAAATCAACGAATAACAAAACAAGAAGTCAAAAATAGTTAACTTTGAGAAACATGATAACAGAAAAAGTGTATTATATCTAAACATAATTATAGTTCAAACAGTACATTAACTAGTGAAAGAGGTCATATAATATGACACGCTTCAACATTTGATGGAACAAACAAATGAAACTATATCAATTTTGAAAATAAAGTAAATTATTAAAAGAGAAAAGATGTCTGTACATCAATATATTACATAACTATTTAACTACAAAGTTGTTATTGCAATGCGTAATGTGCTGAACGAGTTTTCTATATCGCTTCATAATTATGTCGTCTGCAGAACAGTAAAGACATATTTACTTTCTGAATGGAACCGTGAATAATACAGTCAGTATATATTCACAAAAATATCATTTTATCTTGATGGGTACTGTATTGAAGTTTTAAAACAAACCATATTTGATAAATTATTTCTAATATAATAAGAAAAGTAGTCATTCTTTTTAGTTGTAATTATACTGTAGTTTTAGATTAAACCAAAAAGTCGTTTTAGTAAAACATACTAAAGTTATCAACATTTCGTCGTTATACAAATCAATATAATTATGTACCTTTTTCGAATCTATACCGAGGAACTGTATAATTTATACAGGAAGAACATCTTTAAAGCCATTCACGAAACAAAGAAATAAAAATTTCAAAACTCAGGTATATGCATGTAACTTTGGTCCCGACGCAAAGTTGTAAAACGTCACACTGATAACTTCTTGGGACATGTCGTAAAACAGACCGGTCATATTATATTAAATTGGAAGAAATTTACACAAACAATCCTCGTCAACACATAACACTGTCCACTTCCTTAGAAATGACATGTTTGTAGTCGCTACATTATCCTCAAATTTCCTTTTTTACACAGCACATAAGGCACTTTTTTAGATTCTTTTTAAAAAAAAATATTTAAAGTATTGGCGGGAGATATGTTAACTGTCTATTGACGTCATCTTTACCTTCATCTCTAACCGTTACCGGCGTCACCATGAGTCTTTCATACGGTCCTTGATTGTCTGACGAACGGTTATGTTCATGGAGTCCTTTAGTATAAGAGTAAATGCTATCAACAATCCTAGTATACAATCTCGGATGAAGTTTTGATGTTTTGTCACTTTCCTCCGATGTTTTCGTCATTTGCTTAAACGGAGATAGTTTGTGTTCTTTTAAATGGAACGAGTTAGCAACCTCTGGCTCCCTTTTACTCTTAAATGCCATGTGAGACGTCGGCGAGTTCATGTCCATCATGTTGTGTAGCTTTTTCTCATACCTTCGTTCTACAGCTCGTTTTGCCTTGAAATACAAAAAGTACTTTTGAATATGAAGAGACCAAAGCATGAACGTTTCAAAAATGGGAGAAACGGGAGGGTTTCTTATTTGTAATGTGGACAATAAATGTCTGAAAACGCTTTTTCAAGAGTCTGTTATCAAGTTTACACATACATATTCATTGATGTTGTAAAACAGTATGATATATTGAGATGATAATCTTTGATAAAACCATTGTTTTAAAACGCACCGACTTGAAATGTGTCACTATTATTTCTATCATATAAGTCGGGCTTCGCAAACAAAAGAGAAAAAAACTCATAAATAAGACAACATCTTGCCAAAACATTACCCTTTCCTTTCTCTTTTGTTTGGCTAGTTTTTCTATCTTTGCCTGAATAGGGACTTCTCTAACTCTAGGTGTAAGGGCTGGGACAATACTTGGCTGACTAGGTAGATGCTTCTTTCTTTTTGCACTTGATTCCGGAAATGTAAACTCCCGGGTATTAAACATGTGGTAACTGGGAATCCTGGCAGCAACCTCAACCGACAGTGAACGTTCATCTGCCTAATGGTAAGAATTTAATGATATCAGTTTCAGCATATAGATTATAAAAAAAAAAACTACAAAAAAAAATAAAAATGAAAAATCAATCTGAGTGTGTCTGTTTTGGTTTTTTTTCTCTGTTACTATGCAAATTTACTCAATCTAATGGATGAAATAAGTTGTACAATTAAAAAACAATTGGTTAAAATTTCAGATCGCAATTATGCTACGGCAATAACGTTGACTAAGGTTCAACTTGACTTACCCTTTCTGTAAGAAATGCCGGTGATATAGACAATGAGGGTAATGTAGGGAGGTCGCTATGTCCTTCTTCATAATCTTCTTCTTCCTCCTCGAAACTATTGTGTCGTTTTGGTAGCATGTTCTCCGGAATAGGGGGAAGTTTCTTCTTTTTGATATCTTTTTTCCTTGAAACAAATGGCGGCTCAAAGCGGAACTCCTTAAATGCGCATGTCCTGGTGAGCCCTTGGTCACGTGACAACTGCAAAGGTAATGGAAGTCCGCAATGTTTACAAATCAGAAGCTGTGGGCAAAGGAAATAACGGTATCCGTACTTAGCAAAGAATTTTTTGATTTCAGATTTACAGTCCGGACTCAATCCAATAAAATCCCCTTTCATTATTAAAAGCTAATGACTTGGAACTTCATCGGATGAAAGGCAAACACTATGCAGAAATGTGCACTGTTTATTTTTTATAACCGATTTCAGTTGAAAAATAGGATATGATTTAGTACATCCCAATACAAGAATAGCATCCAACACAGCAAATATTTACGAAAGAGTAATAAAAGGATATGAATCGTTATTATCGAATATCTTTCATTGTTAAATGTATATATTTTCAATAACCATGTATCAAATAAGAGGATTTGCTTATGCAAATATTGTGAAATCCAAATTGAATTGCTGTTTTTCCTTATTTTTACTCTAATTAACGTAGGATTTGCAAAAATTTATTTCCAACATTGCATGAATAATAGAATTGTGTGTTTATTTTAAACATTTATCTATATGCATAAGATTTTAATGCCATTAAACAGCGTCATTAGAAAGTAGTTCTTTCCTTAATCACAGTGGCAATTCTGAATATTTTGAAGGAAACAAACTTGTAAAAGTCAACACCCACTTTCATATGTCAAACATTTTAAGCCATTGTTTAAATATAACTTTTTGTTAATAATAACAATAGTTTTTATTTACCTTTTGAATGCTATTTACTAATACATTTATGAACTTAATAATCTTTTATCGGCTAATTTCTATTTTCGTTTGATAATTACTAGTGTCAATACGAATGTGCTGAATAAATTTAAAAACATTCTTTAAGATTAACTAGATAGTTTTAAATATTTTACTGTAAGTCAAGTACGAGTCATATGGTTTATCGTAATTGCCGACCGATCTCGTACAAGATCAAATTTCCCACAAGGTGTAAGATATTCTATAATTACCAGTTTATCTTGATGACAAAAGTATTGGACCATGTCATTTCATAAATTCTATAACTTAATATACAAATATACAGATGGGTTTGATGATTAAAGACTTAACGTTAGAATAGGTATTTAAAAAGATAACACAAATGAAAAGTTCATTTAAATTAACAGGTCACGCTGTGCACACGATGACAGAGCAAAAATTCATTGGTCTATTTCATTTTCTTTTCTTTTTTAATTAAGTATAACGAAAATGATTAAACGCTTAACACTGCAAATTTCTTCGCTTCCATTTTTGGAACTTCCCATTATCAAACTTTTGGATATCAAAATGAAAACTTTAAGCTAGTCTGCCAACAGTGTAGAGTTTAGTCAAATAACACGATGAGCAGGCAGGCCTGTCACTACTGGTTGTATATACTAATCACTTTTGGTTCCAATAGGTTAAAACAAAATCAATTTAACTTAACGTGATACGTTGAATTGAATTGCATTCCATGATAATAATTTCTCTTGCCAAAGTGCTTCTAAAAACCCAGCATGTCAGGTGACTTTATTAAAATAAGCGCTATATCTATGGTATAAATTGCTTTGCAATGAGGCTTAGAAATACTCGTGCACTTGAACCCTTGAACATTATAACAATTAATTAAAGTATTTACAAATCAAACTATAATTGCTTCTTCTCGAGACAAGCATCCTCCTTCAAGTAAATTTAGATATTCAACTGCTTGAATTTCACTGGTAGCCATATTATTGAGTGATCTGTCGCAACTGTTTGTAGTCATTTGTCATTTACCAAAGGTATGTGCTTAAAAGTACAAGATTTCTTTCGTCCTAATGATATGATAGTTCATGAAAACAATTTGACAGTCGAAAAGTTGAAAGCTTAAGATTAAAAAGCTGTAAAGATGAGAAGCACGTGACGGTGTTGCTCAAAGTAATCCAGAAATATCAGTAATGTGTCTTGTGCAAAAAGTATAAACATGTGTGAAGTTTAACCAAACCTGTGCTAAATACAGAAGACTTACCCTTTGTTTCCATTTCAATTTTTGACAGTTTGTCTATTTGCAAATCGAAAAGACATTAGGTAAATATATATTATACGTAAATACGGAATCGAGAATATTCCTAAAAATGTCATCGGGCTAATTAAAACATGAATAGAATGTAGAGAAAGCTTGGTGTAAAGATAGGATAAAGATTTTAATACAATTTATTTTCCATTTGTTGGAAAATATCGCCGATACATACTAAGGACAATTATTTTCCTTTCGAATGAACCACGTTGTATTATAACGATGTCATGAAAAGAAACCAAACTAAAAACTTAAGATCTTCTTAAGGGTTTTTGAGATGATATACTTCAAAAAGTGTTTGAATTTAATCACCTAATTAAAATACTTGTAGTAACGCTTATAAAAAAAGTTCCCTTGATACTTATTCTGAATGTTGTCGAACACTAAATTATTTTTGTATAAACACTAGTGTTTTAGATACGTGTAGATATTATTAACCTTTTTAATTGCAGGAAGTTTTTCGACATGTTTCAGCTGAAGTTGTTTGACCCTGTGTATTTGCTCGATGGTAGCAGTCTCCATTCTATTGGCCAAGTTCACTTCCAACAACATCTTCTGTCACATAAACTACACATCTGAAACATTAACCATCTGGTAATAGAAACACTCCGGCCATTATTTTGCATAGTTTGTGCAATGGATTCGTTCTCCTTTGAATATGGAATAACAGTCCATTAAAACTTGAAGGGATTTTAGTACCAAAATACGAAAGTTGAGCTACAAAAATATAGAGCCCCTATACTGGCTCTCTGTTCTGATGGCAAAAGCTAAGGACATCAGGTAAGTTGGTGATTAATAAAGGACAAGTTAAATGTTTTTTGTGAAAAATCGTAATGAAATCAGTTTGCGACGCCAATCGTTGTTGTTATGATCACTGTACGCATTTGTAACAGTACTATTTCAGAGGCCATACTATTTCAAAGTTACACTGACAGGCATTAAATGTATCATTACCTCGTATATACTGGAAATGAATGTTTTTATAAAGCACTTATAAGGGACAATGTAGAAATATAGGTGACAATGCCAATAATGTCTTAATTATAGGTATTAGTCATCTAGCGCGCTAGTTAAACATGTTAAAGGAATACAAGGCAGTGGGAGGATTTGTTTTGGCGATTTTAATAAAATTAATAATGCATGTCAAGTGTGCATCATCACTGCCACTACTACTTAGGCTGCATTCTCTTTGGATTTAGACTTCATCCTGCTACTTGTTGTCAACCAAATGGTTTGTATCCGAGGCATAATTCTTAGAATAGATAATCTCTTCATTGGTAAATGTAGCTTTCCAATTTATTCGATTTATATTTTCAACACATCATTCAAAGCCTTGATATTGGTCGTGATTACACGCCAGGAACACATATTACATTAAAAAATCGCATAGTTCAATATTAAATTCAATAACAAAAGTATGATGTGATGGAAAAAAAAGAGTATATACTTTGTCAGTATACATAAAACAATACTTACCTTTTATGGCTGTATTACTCCAGTTATTAACAACAGTTAGAATACAATTTTAAACATTTCTCCTTCTTCCTTTGTAATTAAAAATCTATATTAAAATGTTTTATATAAACCTCTTACAACTATGACAATGTAGTTTAAAGCATTAAACTTTATTTTTGCCTCAATAAAACTTACCATTCAATATATATCCGCCATTTTTATCTAAACGATTGAAACAATACCTTTAAAAGAGCACAAAAAATATTTTCTGTTACAGTAAACAACACATCTTCAAATAGCCTTAATAATCAACGATATTAAAACACATTTCAACATTATTGTTTCAACAGAAGGAAAAAAACTCGAGATAAAATATTGCCAATTAACTATTGTTTAAGATATCTAATTTTATTACAATGAAATACTATAGACTGTTTATTATCAAGATCTATAAATTGTGTTGGAGACATTTTCAAGGATCGTCTAATCTCAATTGATGATTATTATTTTGAATGTTTAAATTGTGAATAAAACCATAATAGGCCTGTTTATCATATATACGAAAAGTATAGTTAAATTTATTCGTTAGAGTAGATCTAGTGGTATATCTTTGTTAAAAACCAAATTGGTGCCTCTATTTATAATATCTATCAAGTTAAATTAAGGCGATATTATGAGTCCATATGTTCATTTAAACCATTAAACGACGTGCCAATATCTGTTTTAAATAACAAGACATTGAATAAAGTTGTAAACTGATACATGATTTGACAGAGTAATTCAATGCTATATACCATATAAAACAATTTCGTAAAGCTATTATTCGCAGGCACAAATGCGTATAACTTTGATTAATGCGTCTTTAAACACTACGTGCTGTAAAAATGCTAATAATTTTATTCAATTTAAAATGAATGCAAATAAATGAAGATGTCCTATCAAATTTTACAAAAGATTAAAAGTGTGTTAATAAATGAAATTTGACTCAATATACAAAAATGCTAAATGAAACCATTGCGCCTGATTTTGAGATATTGACAGTTGATCACTCAAACTATTGGCTAAAAAGCACATATAAAAACAAATAGCCAACAGTCATAACTACCCGTCCGTTTCATAAATTACTTAATTATATTAGATGCAATCCTAGGGAAGAAAATTTAAACACCCTACAATGTATGTATGAGGTCCTAGATGCTCAAGTTTTTAGCTTCATTATTGACACTGTCATTAATCACATGACTAGTTGTTATATTACTTATGTGACTGACCATTGAAAAGTCTTAACTTACTGTGACAATTTCTTTAATATATAAGAGTCTCGGCTGACTTTAGTTCTTTGCCGTGAAGTGTATAAGGAAACACAACGGATGTTTCTTTCGACTGATTCATATATATGATTTCACTCTCATCTTGATTAAAGTCCATGGACCAATCAGTTTCCCAATTTTTTAAGGTTATTGAGAGTTTTTGAAGGGTCTTTGTGTGAATTAAATTTTAAGATAAGTTATTGTGTTGTTTGCGAGTAGAATAACTTTTCAGTCAGCCTGTTTGGCTTGTTATAAGTTGTCATGGGTTTAATAGCTATGTTATGACCTGAAACCATGTTGATAAGGGCTTAAGATATCACGTTTATTATAAAAAGACATGATATTGGAAACATGCTACATATTAGCTTAGAGTCAATGCATGTTGGTTTGCATTTTTGGCCCATTTTATAAACAGGGGCAATGGCGGCATGTTTGGAAAGGAACTTGGGATGTTTAAAGGTGAAGTTTTTTAAGTGTTAAATATTGTGGTAAGCTTAAAATTGTCAAGACCAGGGACCGAGGTTTGCTTGGATTTAAATCCATAACTTAATTACGGAGTTTCCGTACTCCACCCTCTGTAGTATGGTTGTGTGGAGTAAGCAGTTGTTTGCAAGACTTTGAAAGGCTTGCTAATTATATTATCTGATATGATATTTATAATGTACATGTATAGCAGATGAACGAAATCATATAAAATTTATTCATATTAAATTAGGTCTAGTTATCTTATTATAAATTATATCGAAAATGCTCATACTAAATCACATAGAACATTTTTTCAAGAAATATTATATACTTTCCTTTTGTTTTATACAGAATCGGATACCGCCATTTGTAAACTACAACAATTATCTCCCCTAGATTTAAATACACCATTTTATGTTAGATGTCAAATTTTCTGTAGAAATCCAGAAGCTGTAAGTTTAATGCTTTTAAACTCTGAAAATTCTTAACTAAGATGTTTTTAGGTATATTTATTGTAAATTGAAGTTATATTAAGTTATGTTAAGCAGCTGTCCATAGTCCTTCATTGAAAGACATCGCATTTTCTTTTTTTACAGTTTATCGGAAAATGTGCGGATTTGACCCATGTAAAAATAGCTTCAAATCCGCGGTTACGTCTATATTTTTGGACTACAGCTGTCCAATGATATAATGGTGTCTCATCTCATATTAATGAACACCTATCTGCTACTATTTGTGTTCTAATATTTCCAAGACAATTTACATTTGAACAGTATCAAAGCAAAACCAATAGTCATCTTTATTTTTTAGTAAATCTATACTGGCATGCGAGCAGTTCCCGTACAGAAGCAGTACCCGTATTTTTCATTTAAACGCTTGATTTTTACATGCATTCTTCAAAAATTCATTTCAAATCAAGCAGATACATAAACGAGACAAAATCTAAGTGTCAGTTCGGCAGTACGTATAAAGGGTGGGAGTGGTTTCGTCGAACTACCGGTTCGTCTAACTGATCTTATATAGTAAAACAGGTAGTGGTTTCGGCTAACTTAATTTATATAGTGAACAATAGCTATTGTATAATGGGCACATCAATTATCGCGGGTCTTAATGTGTGGTTTATCACACATTTTCATGCAATTAAAGACAAGATATTGAAAATTTAAACATATTATTTATTCTTTTCTTTAGAATAATAATGATATTTACAGAACAGAACAGAACAGAACATGAATTTTATTTTAGATTTGAGCATTTCGCTCCTCATCCATAACATAATTATACATTGTTATGTCAAAGTCAAACAATATAATGATATAATACAATATTGAAAATGACAGTATCTGTGGTACATATGACAAAAGAAGGTATAGAATATATATCAGTATCATTTAACATGAGATTCTTAACGTACATGACAATAAATTGAGCATTTATTTATTTATTATATATTTATTAATTATTTATTGTAAAAGATTATGCCTAATTCTTAATGCACAATTTAGGAAACAAACTAAATTATTCAACATTTTTTCATTTCTGGTTGACAACAACTGGGTAAGTTTAAACATAGATGGTCTTTCATAATAATATCTATCAATGTAACGTTTTCTTATAAGTCTGTAGCAGGGACACACACAAATCATATGGAATTCATCCTCAATGTCTCTGGATTGACATACACTGCATGTTCTTTCACCTCTTTCAATTCTATTCTGACCATATCGTCCGGTTTCAATCCTAAGGCAATGTGCGGATATCCTAAACTTGGTAATAACATATATATATTTACATAAAATAATAACACAAGATCTCAGGGAACAAACAACATCATAGAAATATATATATACGTTTAAAAGTACAACCTGAAAAAAAAAAAACTAAAGAGTCAACACAAATTACATTTCACACAAGTTTATTTTTAAATTCTATGACAAACTATACATACAAATAGTTAAAGCTGAAAAATAATGCTTTTAATCGGAATAAAATCGACATATATACTAAACAAAAAATAAAGCTTGAAAGAGAAAGAATTAAAAATGCATGAATACATAAAAAAAATCCACGTACGTAATTATTATAAAAAACACATATTTTTTAAATACTTTGTTTTTCTCTATATAAATAAATGAGGTATGCACATTATTCAAAAATGAAAATAATACATCATGATTTCTATGTAATAAACAACAATCTGTTTTAATTCTTTTTTCACCACTCAATAGATATAAAACTATGATTTAAATGTATATACGTATATACGAAAGTAAAACCTGAAAAAAAAGAATAATTTATAAAATTTACACAAATATATACACATTAAGTGAAACCTGTAAAATATATTTTTACTAATGTCGACCTATATTCACAAATGGTAAAAGAAGGAACAATGTTGTTATTGGAATAAAATTTATACCATTATTTTGTAGTAATAAGCAACGCATATTTTTTAAATTCTTTATTCATCTCTTTATAAGCATGCATAGTATTACAGAGTATACACCATGGCTTTTACGTAGTATTCAACAATATTTTTTATTCTTTATTCATCACTTTTTATATATAATGGAAGTAACATGTACAATCTCAAGTCCGCACGTCCTGCTCGTGTGTTGATCCTTCTGTGCCATCCTGTAATGAATAATGTCGGAATAAATGTAAAGTTGATTTAGTAAACATACAACGTCAATAATTTCAAAAAAAAAATTTCCTTTTAATTTCATTTTCCGTATTTGATGAATAATATGTGAGAAAAAAAACAACAAAAAACATGAACATTTTATTTTTTATTTAGAAATATATCAAAATTCACAAATAGACATTTACTAATATATTAATATATTGTATTAGAATTGTTTCAGGATCTTACCTTCAACGTCGTTGTTTATCAAATAACGAAAAAACCTTTTCAAAATAAGTATAATTAATATATAAACATACTTCTACAATATATTATATTCATTAATGATATTTGCGTCATAATTTAATTATAACAAAATATTCAATTGATGATAAAAACACTATATATATGAACCACATCTACTTTTCCTTTAATTACTATATAATATCAGTTAGACGAAACCACTTTCGCACCTCTTCATAAATTAAGTTAGCCGAACCGGTAGTTTGACGAAACCACCCTAATTCCGTATAAAAAGTCTCATTTTAAATCACTTTCACCTGTGCGTTGTCAAAACGTGACCTTGTTTTATCTGGGGGATTCCGTCCTTGCGCGCATGCGCAATCATACTTACACGTAAGGCATGTTAAAGGGTTTTCCACTAATACCACCTGTTTACAGATAAGAAGGCAATGTGATGAACTTGTTTAATTATCAGAATTTTGACCAATGTTACTATATAAAATAATTTTATGGCTTTGATGCGTAAAATATCATGCATACAAGCATGCCATCGCATGTAAATGCGTTGGGGGTAACGGTACCGGGCAATAGATACACGCGTTTAGTCTACTTTCTATTTCCTGAATTACATCTATGTATCTTTTAGAAAATGGTCTGTTTTAACAATTATGAATGAAAAATAGGTCCGATATAATAAAATTGTATAATTATAATGGGTTAAAGTTTATGTACGGGAACTACTTCTCTTCATACAAAATAACGGATAATTTCGGTACCCCATATGAGGCCTCATAACTAAGGGTTATTCTATGTTTAGAACATGATGGAATTTCCATGATTTGTGTGACGAGCCGAATATTGATGTGTAACATTCAAATTTTGGTGAGTGAGCGTAATAAAAAATAATGTTTAAATAACTACGATTTTTGTACGGGAACTGCTCGCATGCCAGTACATACGTAACCTAGCCCCGTCCGAAAGTGGGAATTTTCTCTATGGCATTTATCAAATCTCTCAATGGTTGTTTAACAAAGACAATTGTCGTAAAAGGTATGAAAACTTAAAGTAAAATTGTGAAATTATTTACTTTGCTCTTAATCTTAATAAATTATAAGTTTTTTCAGTCATATATATATATAGCATTTCAATAAAAATACAATAAAAAAGTAAAAGTAAATCTACTGGAAGATGCATGAGCCATGAGGTCTAGGAGGTACTTGAGACTGTTTATGCCTAATACCTTGGAATTGTAGGTACAACAGAAATATGAGGCACCAGTATATAATGTATTGTATTGCAGTTGCACTCACAGATATCCGGCCTATTTGTCTTGTCAGTAATGATATTATCGTAAAATAATATTCTGTAAACAACCTATAAACACTGCAGACTGACTTAAATGTTATTGTTTTTGGTCATTAACTTATACTTTATTGACATGTGTACTTAAATTTGATAGACCATTCTGGTAGACAGACGTTTCATTTCCAAGACAGTTAACACCAAGACGTTTCACTCACAAAGTTATAGTAAAACGTCTTGGAGATGTTTCACTCCTATTTTTATGTCAAAATGAAACAGGTACTTTTGAATTTTTACTTTCTGTCTTCTTTAATTTTGGTGTAGGCAGAGGTGCTGTCATATTAATCAGCAGGCAGATACAGAATACTCTATAGGGCCTAGTAATATACTGGACATTCCGTAGTACATGTTCATTACAGCTGTTTTATTCTGCAAGTTAGAGCCCATTTTTTCTTCAAAATTAATTGAAATGGCAGTCAGTGAGTTAGTGTAGTATGAATGTCAATAACATATTGTCATGAGAAAAAATACATGTATATTATTATATGCAATTACTGAAGTTCCCTCCCATTAACTGATCAACTATGCAACTTTTCCATGGCATTCATTTATGGATTTTGAAATAAGTTTGGACAAATAGTATACCATATTAAGAAAAGGTGTCATATGCAACACCCTGAATTGTACCACCAAAGCCAGATTAACACTTATATAAAGTTCAAGGTTAATGTAGTCTGTATTTCCCTTTCAGAAAATAACTGCAAGTATTGGGGGGATTCCAGTGAAACTTAAAATGTGAATAGGTAACAGTGAGAGGGAGTGCACTGCAAGAGAACCATAACTTCATCATAAATTATTTTCAAATAATCTTCCTTATAAACTTACTTATATACAGGAGTTATTTTATTTCATTTCTTTCATTAATTAACTTATTGTTGCATGATTGTGCATATCTTGTATTTATCAAGATTTTGCACTGAAAGTCTAGATCCATGCCTCATTTTTTGAAATAATACAATTGTTTACTTCATGTAAAACTACTCATTGGTAACTCTGTTATACTTTAAAAATTTAAATATATAATTGATAAACTCGTCCCTAGTTATATTAACTAAGTCTCACAATTTGATTGAATCTGTGCTATTTATACTATTTTCAGAAATTCTACATCAATGGCAATGACATAAACATCATCTTGATAAAACCACAAAGGTGGTGTACATGTAAGGTTGGATTGGTACCTTGCTTTCCTTAACACTCTAAAAAAAGTAATAAATAGACAAAGACAATATAAGAAATATTTTTTTGGTACCGGGTATATATCCATTTATATAAGCAAGTTTGTTGCATGTAAAATTAGTACAGATTGTTTGCAAAGAATCAAAACTGTACTAATTGAAGCTTCATCATGAGTTTAATGAATAAGGTTGCCTTCTACCCAACTCTCTTTTACAATGTGGTGATGGCCCAGGTGACTGGCAGGAACTGGTATGATAGAATAGATGAGACTGTTTTACTTGGAGCACTACCATTCAGAGGAATGACAAAATGGGTCAGTATTTAGTACATGTAATACATGTAACATTTACTTATTTTACAGCTTCAATGTCTGTATTGAAGAAAATGTTAAGCTATTTATGATCGCTATGGTGTCGTCATTAAAAATCTTCAATGTAGCCAATCCTTTAAAAGGTATCAACATAAAAAGCTGCACTGTTTGGCTTTAAGATACAAAGTAATGGTAAAGTGTATTCAAAAGTCACAGCTTCATTGTACTACTGATAAATGGTTGAATAATGTACAATAAAGGAAAATTCTTTGTCTATGAAGGAAAAGACATGACATGCTACAATTTATCATGATAATGTTACTATGTACAAAAATCAGTGTCATTCAGTTGGAAAGTTAATATTAATTTACAAATTTGATTTACAAGTAGCCATTCTCATTTATTAACTTCATGTTACAAGCTTCTGGTTTTGTAGTGAGTGTATTATGCTCAAATGATTTAAATTTTAAAAATGATTGTAAAATATGCACCAACATGCACATTGTAAACAAGATTATATTTGTTGGCATCCATAAATGCACAAGAGAATGTATTCTAACTATATACATTGTACATTGTATTTTTTATATTGTTATCAGATCATCTAACATTATGTTAAAAAGATGATATTTTATATGTATTTATATTTTAGTTAGTAGGAGAAGAGAATGTTAAAGGGGTGATAACACTGAATGAGGATTGGGAACTGGAGCAGTTTTGTAATACCACTGAGGTTAGATTTATAAAGAATCAGCATTATCTCCCTTTGCTACTTTTTGTCAATTCTTTCATTAATTAATAAAAGTTATATTCTAGTAAAAACTAATTAAATGTAGATTGAATGGCAGCACATCTGTATTGGTAAGTGTCTGTTAGCAAGAATTCTTTCTTATAGCCCATAGAGTGCTGTCTAATATAAGCAATAGAAAAATGCCACTGGTAATAAATCTGATCGGTCTTCCTATTCATTAATGTTAATGTAGTGAAAAACAAGGGAATTTGTGACAATATTGGAAACTAACAAGAATTTGTTTTCATTGTTTCAAGGCAATCTTTATGTCTGACTGAATTAAATTATATACCTTCGAATTTGAATACAAGTCATCTTGCTTTGAATAACTTACATTACATTCTGTGTTTAAGGGGTTTCTATGATATAACATAACAAATGAACAGTCAACTGTGTAGAGAGACTCTGAGTCTAGTCAGGTTTGAAGTTAAGTTATGGTGCTTTTGTTGTAGTTCAAAACTATTTTATAGTATGTTTATTTGAGGTTAAAATGAAAAATATTTTGTTGACAATTTCAGGAATGGGAGAAGGCTGGTGTAAAGCAGTTTGAAGATACCTACTGTAGATTTTACTGCCAGTCCAAGTCAGGAAAATATTAGAAAGGCTGTTGCATTTATTGAGGATTATCATAACAAAGATTTAGGCAGCGTGTATGTTCACTGTAAGGCTGGACGAACCCGTAGTGCAACCATTGTAGCGTGCTATCTAGTCAAAGTTAGTTGAGATATATTAGTTAAAAATTTCATTGTTACTATGCTATTGTAAAGCATGCTAACTAACCTATAATCTGTTGATTTCTTAAATGGACTTGTCTAGTGTCTGGAACTGTCCATTATCAATTTGTGGGATATCAAGATGAAAATATAAATGTAGTCAACAAGCAGTATAGAACCTGGTCAGACTGCACAGATGTACAAGTTGACCAGCTTGGCATTATACTGGTGTCTCAATCATTTCATTGCTGCAAGCCTTTTTTTTTTCAGATAAAGACTGTATTATTGTGATTTTCATTGATTGTATGAGAAATGATTATATATATACTACAGTTGCCACAGGTTCAAACTTTACATGTGACTCACCTCAAAAGATTTATAGTCATTTTGTTTTTTGAAGGATAGACCATATAGATAGTGACAAGCTTATCCTGGTTGAACATTTCTTTAAGCCAAATATGTATAATTATCAGATTTCATACAAAAAATGATCAAAATTAGCATAACTTGGACAAGAAGTCCAGTAACCAAATTAAAATGTCTGTAGCTAAATTAATGAAATTTTAGCAAATCGTTAAAATGGCTAAAGACAGACAATGGCAGTGAGGCCAGATAGTTTAGTGGATACAGAAATCACTCCATTTTAATGAAAAAACTAGATAGTTTCTTACATGTTAAATGTGTACAGCACCTTGGTTATCAAAGGCTGATCTAAGTAATCAGTTAGCAGAGAATCATACTCTTAATTATCCAGGCAAATTTTAATAAAGGACCCATTCTGAATATTCTAATTGTAAATGGAAATCACTGACAAGTATTAAATTATTTACTTTTTGTATGAACTATAAATAACACTATATTTTAGGTAATAGAAGTTTTCTTTATATTACGTTTACAGATCCATGGATGGTCACCAGACAAGGCAGTGGAATTTATCCAGGAGAAAAGACCTCATATATGGTTACGTGACAAACAACTTGATTCCATTAATGTATTTTCGAAGATGTGCAATAATAATATAATAACCCACCATCGGGTGCTTAACTTATGTGTAGTAATGACATTTTATAGTAACATTTAGTATTAATGGTTTATCAGAATAAAGTCTGTTACAGCTTGGCGACATTTTTAGCTTGGACTATTTGAAGAACAGGGAGAGCTATTGTGCTAACAAAGACATTGGTGTTACACTTTGGTTTAAGTTTTTGCATCCACAACAACTGAAGGGAAGAGGCTGAATCTTCACACACTTATTTTAGATTATAATAGATCGCTATCCAAGGTCCTTAACCTAATTTGAATTTTGACAGAATTATAGCCCTTTCATTTAGAAAATTTCTACGTTGTTGAGGCTCTTATAGAATAGTCAAGCACACCAACCAATAGCTTTTTTTATTTTTTAATTTTTCTTTGCACTTTGGCATGTATTTCATGCAAAAAATTAAGGAAATACAATGCAATAAAATTAAGTTCCTTAAGTTCTTGTTCTTTTACTTTTGAAATTCTTACACTACATTTAAAAATATAGTTATACATGTAATAGTATATGTCTGATGCAAAACAATTATTGTGAATGTTTCAATACAGGCCCCACCTCAGTCAAACAATTGTTAAAAGAAGAAAACTATTTTGATAATTCAGTTATTTGGCCACACCCATGACGTGATATTCTACAGCAGTTGTAGATTATCACGGGTCATGGGTGTGGCAATTTTACTACCAGATTTTCAATTTCTCTGAGATATAATGAAAGATAAGAGTACTTTAAATGTGTAAAATGTGATTGAAATTGATCACTAGCATATTATTTTTTGTCCAGACAGTTTACTTGCTGACTTCTGACAACTTAAACTTAAGCCACAACTTGTTTTATTCTAAAGCTAACAGCCTAGAGTTAATAAAAAAGTCATCTTGACCTTTAACTAATTTTGACTTTTATGTTGGTCCTGAATGATCTAAAAAGCTAGTGATTGAAAATATTACTTCAATAATCAATATTGACTTCACTGGATATCTCTAATATAAATGGAAATTTAAAGTTGCTTGCCACCCAGAGGAGCCAAAATATTTCCAAGAAAATCAACTTAGGAAAATGAACTTTGAAAATAAAAACAATAAATGATATAGAAAATATTCAAAAATTGATGTATGATTTACATGTTATATGCAATGAATGAAGTGTTTTTTCCCCCAGTAATTGTCACCCATATTTCTACTGCATGACAAAATGCAATAAGGGCTATTTTTGCGCATTTTGACCTTTATTTGGTAATTTACTTGGATTGAATGTGCCATTTGCAATGTGTAAATTACTTTCTTTGTTCACTTGACAATATTTTAAATTTTTCAATTACATTTTTCAAGAAATAAGCATTGAATTCCGAGGCGTGCTGCTTTAAGTCTTGTGTCCCGGTACTTTACTTTTGCAAAAAATTTAAACTGTTGGCTTATCCAGGTTAGCATAAAGTGGTGGCCTTATGAACAACAGATATGTATAAATTTTTTTGCCTCAGGTTTTTATTTATTAATTTTATTTAGGATGGATATTATTGCAAATATTTACATACTTAGAAATGAAAGTGTAAATTACAGGAATGTCTTTCACATTGCTTTATATTTGCACACATGTACCATTGAAATAAATAAAGCAAAAAAGATTCAGTTTGTTTTTTCATTTAGATTACAAAAACATATTAGATATTGATAAGTTTTTTGTAGTTGAACAGCATTTTCTAGGTAGTATTAGTGCTATAATGGTTGTTATTTCATTGGCACAGATATAAACAACCCTTTTTTTACTACATAAATGTCAGTTTTAAAACAGATTATCAAGTTATGTTTTTATTACTCCCCCTGGCATAAAAATAGTAATCAGTCTGTCTGTCCGTCCATACGAGATTAACCTAAAAAGGCAAGTTGCATTTATCTTAAGTTCTACCTGTACCAATGGCTTCATAATTTGCACACTTATCAATACAAAGTACTTGATATTGTCAAGAAATATAACTGTGCCATCCATTTTCCCGGTTATTTCCCTTTCTATCACTTTGAAAATAGGGCCTTGTATGGTTAACCTATTCTGGCAAGTTGGATTTGTCTTAAATTTCTCCTGATTTCTCATATATTTAATATTTTTCTGTGGAATAAGGGGTCATTGGGGTCAAGGTCATTGGTGTAAAAACAATGAATTTTAACATTTTTGCTCATGCAGCCTTTAATTTTTAAATTGATGTCTTTCATGTTTAGTATGGACATGCCTAGGGAGGTCCTCTTCCTTTGGGTTAAGTTAGGGGTCATTTTGGGTTAGGGTTACCAATGCCAAAAATAGATTTTTACACTTTTGCCCATACAACCTTTATTTATGGACTGTCATGTTTGGTATGAAGATATAATGCATGGTATTCTTCCTTTGTAACGAATAAAGGGGTCAGTGGGTTAAGGTCAATAGAATTTTACACTTTTGCTCATACAGCCTTCATGAATCTTTCAGATGTCTTTCATATTAGATAGGAAGATAACTTGCATGGTATTGTACCTTGGATTGAGTTAGGGGTCAAGGTCAAGTAATAGATGTCTCACATTTGCTTATTCAGTGGCTATTTACAGACTGATATTTTTCATATTTGGAAGGAACATAACTTGGATCTTATACAGCCTTTGTATTATTTTATCAGTATCTCATATTTAGAAGGAACATACCTCAAGTGGTCCTTTAAGTTTGGTTGGAGTTGAGAGTCACTGGGTTCAAGGTCAAGTTCTTGCATTTATATATGTATATTTCATAAATATTTAATGATGAAGTTGAATATCATTCAACTTCATCACATAGCAGACATATATTTTTCACAATAACAAAACATCATGACTCTGTTAAGTTATATAACTTATTACTACAATTTTTTGGCAATTTTTCTGTCCATAATTGATTGCAGAATAAAAAATCTTACCAAGCGCACAATTGTTCTACCAGCAACCAACTGATCTACTTGCAACCATTTAAAAGTTTGTTTATAATTCAAGTACATGTAGATATTTTCAACATAAAATGTTGTTACAGTTTAAAATTGCAGCAGGGTAAACAATGATAATACTTTGATCAGACGGTTTTTTGGTGGACAAGACATGTATTAATCTTCTAGTTTCAAATAAATGTACTATAAGCTTGTGGTGTAATTTTATCTTTTGATGACATCTTTTTATGCCGCCGCAGCATCTGCGATGCGGTGGCATATGGCAATTCACCTGTGTGTGTGTTTGTACGTATGTGTTATATAGATTATATAGTGAACTTAATAAATCTTCTTGTGAAAAACCACTAGTCCAATTTCAACCAAACTTGGCAGGATTGATCCTTGGGTGAAGGGCTTCCTAAGTTGTTCAAAGAATTTCATTCCCTGCAAAAATCTGGTTGCCATGGTAACCAAAAGGAATTATAAGAATAAATTAAAAAAATCTTCTTGTAAAGACCAACAAGGCCTAGAGCATAGATATTTTGCATAAGGCATTGTCTGGTAGGCATCTACCCAGATTGTTCAAATTAAAGCCCTGGGGTCAAAATTGGCCCCGTCCCAGGGGTCATTGATTTTCACTATATGTACATACAGTAAAAAATTAATAATCTTAGAGCTTTGATGTTTGCTTTATAATATCATCCATGGGTCCTCTACCAAAGTTGTTCAAATTTTGCCCCTGGTGTCAAAATTGGCCCTGCCGGGGGGCATTGATTTTCATTTTGTACACATAGTAAAAACAAAAACTTAAACAAATGTTTTCTGAATTGGAGAAAGCTACAGCTTAGATATTTGACATGAAATGTTGTTTGGTGGACCTGTATCAAGATTGTTTGGTTGACCTGTATCAAGATTGTTTAAATTAAACCCTTGGGTCAAAATTTTGCTTTGCCCAACGGGAAAGTGACCTACTTTCTTGTCCTTTGATGTACAGCTATGAAATTTGGACTATGTGCACATTTTTATTTATAAAATTGAACTTTGATATCATGTGACCTAGATTTTGATGATGTGACCTACTTTTTTGTCCTTTAATGTGCAGCTATGAAATTTGAACCATGTGCACATACAATGTATTTAAGATGTAAAGTGAACTTTGATATCAGCTGGCCTAGAATTTGACTAAGTGTCTTACTGTGTTGTCCTTTGATTTACAGTCATGGAATTTTGGCCATGTGAAATATGACCTTCACCACCAAATTCACTAGACTCAACTGCATTGGTAGATTCCTACTCTGATCTTTTATTTGATTAACAATAGATTAAACCACTAACCTAAAAAATTCTGTTCCTACATTACTATTTAGTGTTGTATTAATGTGGTGGCATAGCATTTTTCACAAATGCAATCTTGTTTCAAATTACAATGTGTGGGATAGTAGCTTTAAGCACAGACTTTCAAAATAACAAAACTTGATTTATGTTATAACTTTAATGTAAATATAGATAGACAGATAGATAGATAGATAAACTTTATTCATACAAAGGCAATATGTCCGTCAGTACACAGTAATAATACAATCAGCAGTTACATAACATCAATGGCATGATATAGCATGGTATACAGGTTTGACTGTACATGAACTAGGTCTATTAAAAAGTCAATTCTTATTCATCATAACATATCTAGTATTATAATATATGTGATACATATAAAATGAATATGATATATATATATACATGTATATAACATCAGAACTATCATAACACATGCAATATTCATGAGACATCATGATTTAACATTCATTTTAAACAAGCTACTCAATAAATTATTCATTAAACCTGTAAGTAATTTGATTACAACATATTAATTTATATTACAAACCTTATATCTTATCTTTGTTGTTCATTCACTAAACATTTTTAAATGAAAATTATCAGGACTAATGTTTTTTTCTGGCAAAATGGTTATCTCTGATGATTTTTTTTAACCAGAACAGAAGTGGATTGCCTTATTGTTTGAAATTTTATCTTGCATAAAGTATATTCGTTTTCAATGCAAATGCAAAAAAAACCTTAGTAATATGTTTTTAAATGTTTGTGT